ATGGTTGTAGCTCAGGTCCAGCTCTCTCACATTTGAGGGCTTGTATCTCAGAGCTGAGGCCAGAGAAGCACAGCCTTCCTCTGTGATCAGACAGCCTGACAGCCTGCACACACAAAACAACACAAACCTGACTGACAACACTTGGCTGCATGTTTCTCACTCTTTGTTTTCTTATTTGTCTTTCACACACATTTTGGTGCCGATTTGAAGCGTCTGAAGTAAATAAAGAATCATCCATCCATCCATCCATCCATCCATCCATCCATCCATCCATCATCTTCCGCTTATCCAGGGTCGGGTCGCGGGGGCAGCAGGCGGAGCAGGTCGTCCCAGACTTCCCTCTCCCTGGCGACATTTTCCAGCTCTTCCTGGGGGATCCTGAGGTGTTTCCAGGCCAGCCTCGAAATATAATCCCTCCAGCGGGTTCTGGGTCTGCCCCGGGGTCTCCTCCCAGGTGGACGTGTTTGGAAAACCTCCAGAGGAAGCCTCTCCGGAGGCATTCGACGCGAAGGAACAGCGGCTCTACTCCAAACTCCCTCCGGATGTCCGAGCTCCTCACCCTATCTCTAAGGCTGAGCTCAGCCAGCCTGCAGAGGAAGCTCATTTCGGCCGCTTGTACGATCTCGTTCTTTCAGTCATGACCCAAAGCTCGTGACCGTAGGTGAGGGTTGGAACATAGATGGACTGGTAAATCGAGAGCTTCGCCTTGCGGCTCAGCTCTCTCTTCACCACAATGGTCTGGTCCGGTACTGCTGATGCTGCACCGAGCCACCTGTCCATCTCACACTCCATTTTCCCATCACTTGACCTCCCCCGGGATGCAGGAGAAACTCTTCCGGAGGTGGGAATTGAAAACCCCACAGACAGGGGCCTCCGCTAGGCGTTCCCAGTTCCCCCTCACTACACGTTTGGGTTTACCGGGTCTGTCCGGCAGCCTTCCCCGTCATCGGATCCAACTCACTACCAGGTGGTGATCAGTTGACAGCTCTGCTCCCCTCTTCACCCAAGTGTCCAAAACATACAGCTGCAGATCTGATGATACAACTACGAAGTCGCAGAGAGGCGACCCTCTCACTGTCCGGGGAGAACTCCAACAAGGCGGCACTCAGCTGGGGGCTTCTGATTATCCCCACACTCGCCTGGCGCCTCTCACCGTGGGCAACTCCGGAAAAGGAGAGAGTCCAACCCCTTTCCAGGAGTCGGGTTCCAGAGCCCTTGCTGTGCGTGGAGTTGAGCCTGACTATATCTAGCTGGTAACGCTCCACCTCCCGCACCAGCTCAGGCTCCTTCCAGCTCCAGTGAGATGACGTTCCACGTCCCAAGAGCTAGTCTACGTCACCAGGGGGTGGAACGCCAGGACACCCGCTCCTGCCGACCACCCGGTTGGCATATCACCTGACCCCGATCCTCCGCCCTGTGGGTGGTGGGCCCTCTGGTCAGTGGCCCCATGTTACTTTTTCGGGCTGTGCCCGACCGAGCCCCACGGGGCCACCAGGCGCTCCCCCGGTGAGCTCCTCCCCCAGGCCTGGCTCCAGGAGGGTGCCCTGGTCTCCTTATTCCGGGCGAGGTGGCGGCTGTCCTTGTTCTGCTGTTCATCTGGATCTTCTGAATTGCTCTTTGTCTGGTCCCTCCGCCAGAACCAGTTTGCCTTGGGAGACCCTACCAGGGGCTAGTTTCCCAGACAACATAGCTCCCAGGATCACAGGGACACTCAAACCCCTCCACCACGATAAGGTGGCGATTCATCAACCTGATCAATGAATTCCAGGATTTAAAAATTCAAACACAAAGTAGGAAATATAATATCGTCTGACAAATTAAATCTGTTTGGTTCAGAAAGTCCTGATGAAATTCAGAAAAAGGTCATTTGATGAATCACATCAGCAGAAACGATTGTACACAGGTTAGCTGTTTATCCACTGATAGAAATCACATCAGGTTCAAAATGTGAATCCTGACCTGAGAGTCTCCAGTTTACAATGTGGACTCTCCAGTCCAGCAGAAAGACTCTTCACTCCTGAATCCTGCAGGTTGTTGTTAGTCAGGTCCAG